ATATGGTATGGAATAGCCCTTTGGTCATTTTGGATCAACTACTTTGGCTGTGCCCTCTCCCAGTTTCTTGTGTACCTGGCAGAGCATGGGAAGCTGAAAAGTCCTTGACTAGCATAAGCAGTACTCAGCAACAACTAAAACATCAGTGTGTTATCAACATTCTTTTCATACTAAATCCAAAACACAGCACTATGCCTGCTACTAGGAAGAAGATTACCTCTATCCCAGCCGAAACCCGGACACATGCATTTTGAAAGACTATAGAAACATCACTTTCTGTGTTTAATACTTTCCATTCTCAAGTGGTCAAGAGAATACATTTTCCTAAAGAAGAGGCATAGTAAAAAAACTGATTAGACCTATAAATGTAGTTACGCAGATGCATAACTGTATGTGTATGCAATTAGAGTATCTTATTTGGCAAAGTAACAGAATTCACATAATAATTATGTGAGAGGGGAAAATATATTTTTATTTATTCATAATATGCCTTAATATTAAAGACTAGTTATGCCAGTTCAGAGAATTTCAGGATTTCTTTTTTATGGTACAGTAGCACTAGAGATGACTGTACAGAATCTTTAAAAAGATGCAGCCAGTTTTATGTGTGCCTACGTCAGATTCATGTAATTGGATATTAATGTAACTGCAGTCTTCAGTGTGAGTGTAGCTGAATTTGGATTAGATTTTATTTCTTCATTTCTGTAGTGCCCATTAGAAGCAAAACGATGCAATGTCTGATTGTATTTTTAAGCTTTGGGTGAATAATTTGTTACATGGCATCAGTTGTGGACATCTTTATCCAGTGATTAAGTTGTTTTATCATTCCTTTATGGAAGGGGTGAGAGTAAAAAAACATTTAAGTTGAGTATCATTCTGGCATTTTGTCAAATGTCTTAAGATGTTAATTTAGTTCAAATGCATACCTTAAAAATAGCAAAAGAGGAATAGAATTTTCAGGATGCTGAAATTCCTGAAAAATAGGGTTTCTGATATTTCTGGTTTATGTTAAAGTGTTGCTTCTAAATGATGAAGGCACTCCTGATGATTGTATTCCAGGGGGGTGTGTGTGTGTGTGTCTCTAACTCTGAAAGTAGGTGACCGGGTACTGATGCATTTCCCAAATTCAAAGCATCTGACTTCAGAATAATCTCAGATACAATCGTTTAGTTTACTTTTAGCAAAAATAAAGTGCTCCTTAACTCTATTCCAACTGCCGCTCCATTTGCAAGGAGCATGCAAGAAAGTGAAAAAGTAATAATGCTGGCTTGTAAAGGCAGCTACGGGATTTTATCCCATCTGCTGCAAGGCATTGGCAAGAACTCCACTGGATGTGGGAGAGAGAAGGAAAAACTGCAAAAGATGAAGCTCCAGATAAAATGTTCCGCCTGGGAACTTACTGGGCTCTGTTTCTGGCTGTCCTGTTCAATGATTGTCTTTAGCTTAACTAACTGAGGCTGCTGGTGCATACAATAAGTTGATCCTACTGCATCATCGTTAAGCGAAAGCATGCTGCTGCTTAGTAAAAGTGCAGGAGTATTTGCATCTCTCTCTTCAGCTGTCTTTTCATGCTAATGTATGCATTTGGCAGGCAATTACAGAGACTCAGCAGAGGAGCATCCTGTGTAGCTGTGTATCTATCTCTGTCCATGCTGCTCTGTCTTACGGTTTTCCTGTTCTCCCTGTGTTTTGGCACAGAGCAGAGGCCAGAATATAAACAGAAATTAAAGTGTCCTATTTTGATCATATAGTATTAAAAATTGCCAGGCAATCAGTTCTTCGTGGCAGGGACTTCTTTCTTACCTTATCTAAAGATTCCATGTGCTTGGTATGAAAACTTGTGATATTTTTCTGCGGGTAAGCAAGCTGGTGATTTTTCTTCCACTGCTTATGGATAAAGGAGCCAATAAGGATTTTAAAAGGAAAACTCAAATTTGACAAAAATCAGTGCATACTATTTGCACACTGTAATGGAACTGTTACTTTTCCTGTGTAATTGCGAATATTATGTGATTTAATACAACATAATTATGCTTGTGACTATACTACACATTCATCTTTTGTGCCATAGGTTGCTCAGAGAGTTATATGAGGTGGATACACTTTTCATCCAGCTTTCATGTTTTCAATTCCCTTAGGGCTGGATTGGTCTGAAGACAGTGGAGAAGAGTTGGAGGATTCAGAGCAAACCTCCCCTTACCAGGTTGCGTGGTCTATCCGAGAAACTCTCGGCTATGAGAGACATGAGTGAGTATGATTCTTTAGTATTCATGCTAGCCTTGATGGAATAAATCATGTAAATGTGAGCTTCACTTCAAGTGGAGTCAGTGGAACCTAAGCACTTGTTTGAGTCCTTTGCTGAAATGAAGGATTGTTTGAACTCATTTGTTTGCAAGAGCTATGAAACAGCTTGTTGCCTTCTGTCCCAGTTTCTAGCTAACTTAGAGATCTTTGTGCAGTCTGCTATCAGAAGGATGCATCAGGAAAGCATTTAAGCTTATTTGCCTAAATTTAATTGAGTTTAGTGGGATTTATTCATGAATGTTTGCCTTAGTAGAGGTATTTCCTGGATTAGAACCAAATGAAGGGAGTTGCTATTGGTTTCTTGTCATTCCTACTATTTGTAAATAACTCTGTTAGTAAACTTGCTACAATTTAATCATTAATCCCTCTGGTAATCATGCAGAATGTTGTTTTAATGTGGTTTTTTTAAAGGGCATGGCATTTCTTTTCATAATTAAGTGTTGAATAAACCTCTGTCAAATAGTTGGGAGCATTGAAAGGAAGTGATGTGATTGAAGGGATAAGCAGAGCAGGTATTAGCTGCTGGTGCAGAAATGCTTACGGTATTCTCCATATACTGCTAAGTCATGAATCTGAACTTACAGGAGTATATGATAATATATGTCTGTTAATGTAAATTTTAAGGTGCAAAGTTAAAGCAAAGCATCCCAAGCATAGTATTGTAATGAAACTGAAGCATGTTGATAACAAAAGGAAATTGGGGTCTCAATAAAGTTTGATTGTAGTTTCTGTAACACGATTCTCTTTCACTATGCAACTGGACTTTTTGCTACTACAACTCTCTCCCATTTGTTTAGTTTTTAAATATCACAGTTAGAGTAGTGATGTTAATGAAACGTTATTTTGTGGTTACATGGAAATTCTGAGACTTACCAGAACTTCTTACCATCTCCAAAGATTGTCTACAAAGTGAACAGCAAAGCTGTATCTCTGTCATCAGGACAGACACCAGGATAGTAAATACTGAGAGCTTTCAGTGAATTGAAGTTAATAGCAGTGTGTAGACTTTCCTTTTTTAAAAGAAAGATTTTTCTCTGTTATGAATGACCATTGTATTTTAGGGCATCAGCAGTCAGAGAGAGAGTGAGCTTTTGCAAGCATTAGTTTTAACTTAAAAGGCAACTTTTAAATAAACTGTTTTGGGAAAACATGAACAGACTTTGAAACTTTCAAATCATACATAATTTTCAAAGCAGATATATCTATTAAATAACTGCCCTTACACTCTTCTCTCTTTGACATTTGATCTGGTTCTTCCACAGATCCCTGTTTCTTTTGTCAACTTATAAAGGTCATATCTGTGTGTTTTGTCTTCTATTTGTCTTAACTTCCTTTGGATTCTTCCTACTCTTTTCACATACTGAGAGAAAATAATACCTTGTATTGGCATTTTCTCTTCCATTCTAGCATTTAAGACACTGTCTTAACTAATCATGATGGATAAATTTTTGTGTGGTACTGGCTGCTTTTGTACTTCCATCAGCCTGCCCACTGTTAGCTCTTCAACAACTTCCCTAATTTTGTTTATGGCTAAACATTGATAACGTTCACTTGATGTCAGCCTTCTAAAAATTTAATTCCCCTTCTGCAAGCTTCTGTAGAGGTTTTTATTACCTGAAATGTTTTACGTTGACACTTTTGCAGTGTGGTCTGTCTGCTGCTGAAGATGAATTAGTTCAGGCTATTTCTTGGGTGATTTCATTTGTCAAAATGACTCTGTCTTGCTAATCTGGCAGTGCAGACTGGTGGCTCCTGACTTGGTTAGCCAATGACTTGTTATGACTGAATTTTGGAGGCTAATTTTACCAGAAAACCAATGGAGATTGTTTCCCAAAACCTTTAGATTCTGAAATGATATACCCAAACCTATGGGAATTTACTTACTGTTTTTCATAGTAAAATTAAAGCTATTTTTTCTCTGTTCATTTGTGTCTGAGCTTGCAGTCCCTATGTGAAAGGGATAACTCTCCACCAGCTAGCTGGATTCTGTCCTTTTCCATTTGACTTTGTGGAAGACAGTGGGAGGGATGCTTCTCAGAACAGATTAGTAAAAGAAAGTGAACAGTTAATTTCTGCATTATTGGACAGCTTGTTCTCAGCATTTCTGGTTGTGTGATTGTAGAGGGGAATCGTCTAACTTTCTGTTCAACTTCTTGTGTGATATTCTGTCTGCTCTTAAACTCTCAAAAATTCACCAGATTGGTTTAAAATTGATGTCTTAACAGTAATACATTTTTGAGTTCACTTGCCTTCTGGCCTTTTAATCTGTAAAATTCATATTGTTGCAGTCATCTGTGGAAACACAGGCCAAATGTTTGCTTTTATTATTTTGTCCTTTAATTTTGAAAAGTCAGGTTCCTGTGGTTGCAGGATTCCAGGATGCAGTGCTTCGAGGCAGGCACAAATGTTTGAGTTTAAATAGTAGCACAGGAGTTTGCACCAGGTGCAGCACAGGCAGGACGGCTGGCAGGGAAGGCTGCTGGGCTGGGAGGAATTCCTCGCAGGAGCAGCAGTTCGGAGGGAAAGCAGGGGCTGTTCCCTGCTGCAGATTAGTGAAGCTTCCCCCCAGATGATTTGATTACCGGGTGTTGTAGTTTAGAAAGTATTGGAAACAAAGTAGTTTTAATTTCCTATGCTGAAATACAGATAAAGTGAGCCTTTCAAGTAGCAAGTTTGAAAAGGGAGCGTGGGGATTGGAGTCCCTCCCGATAATCAGCTCTCTCAAAGGAGCAAATATCTACACTGTATTGTCAAAGTTGGATTTAATAACTCCCAGTAACTAGAAGAACTAAATGGAAGGAGGGAAGGTTCTTCAAATCCCTCCTTACAGACAGTTTTGAAGTACAGTTGCTGGTGTGTCTCAGAGTAGAGAGCATGTTCTCCTGGTTCCCTGATGGTGCCCGGTTGCTCGCGCTACCCTTTTGGTCTTCCTTTCTGCTGCTTTATGCTGCCTTTGTTTTCTTTATGAACACTCAGCAATAATTCCCCTGATGTTTACACATGACAATATTCAAGGGAAGGGTTGGGAAGAAGTATTTTGGATTATCAAACGGTTTGCGTGCACTTTCAGAAGTCTTTTAAAAAATGAAATGCTGCGCATTAAGTTGAACTTAAGAAGTTACATATGCAGCTTAAGAGAATAAACTAAATAGAAGTTGGTAAACTTGTTTATGAAAGGACAACAGTAAAAGTACCTTTCGGTTTCGGTACTTGCCTAGTGGGGGGAAAAAAAAAAGGTGTTATTGTGATATTTTTCGGTTTCTTTGACTATATAAATATGTTTTGGTTAATCGTACCAGCCTGGAAACAAACTTCTGAATAGGCTTTTAGAAACTGTTTGCCTCAGAATAAGCTCTTGTCTACTGCAGGCATGATTTCTTTCTACATCTTGTATATATGTCTTCATCTACTTTTTTTAAAATGATCTCATAAACTGCAATTCAAAATATTTTAACATACGATGACTTTTCCTGTCTATTTCAATGGGAGGGAAGTAAAAAGTCTCAAATATAGAGACATTTGCATTAAAAACCACTCTTAAAAACAAAAGGGACACTTTTTCCCCCTAAGGAATATTCATGTCTTTTCTTAAAGTTAATTTGTAAGCATATTTGAAATTAAATCAGTATGTCTGTAACTTTGTTTAAAAATCTTGGCCCAGAGCAGTAATGAAATATCTAAGACCTTAGACCTACCTATATCTAACTGACCCCATCCATGTATTCCTGTTTTCAATTAATACATTGGAAAAAGGAAAATCTATATTAAATAACACAATTAAATTTTTCTAGATAGGTTGTTTTTCCCAGTAGGCACTCTTTC